GGGGGGCGAGGCAGGGGGGATATAAAAGTAAAACCATAGAGAGAATTTTCTTTTTGTCCTCACATCACACTTCAAAACCCCTGCAAAGGAAAAAAGTATAATAAATTGGATCTACAAATTTGCTCAAAGTATGGAAATGTTTATATGTAAAAACTGTAATTTTTGGTATTAGGTATTTTAACACTGAAAAGATTTATGTGACCTAACAGTAAATTCTTCTACTGAGCAAATAATCATACAAACTTACTCTTTATGCAATTAAAAATTTTCACTTTTTGAATTTACAGAACAAAGCATATACTTATGTGACCTTAGGGAAAAATACATCTCACTTATAATAGTGTTGGAACATCTGAGAATAGAAAATACAGATGTGTTTTCTTCTTTTACTCCTTTTCAAATCAGACACTGATTTAATTATTTTTAAATACAGAACATGAACATCCATATCATTAAACAATTTTAAGAAAAATGTAGCATATCTTTAAGCCATGTATGTAATGTTAAAAAAGTAGTTTGAAACATCTTTGAAATTTCCAAGATGTTAATGTCTATCATGTGAAGTCTTCACAGTTTCTGGAAAATATGAGACCAAAACACTGAACCTGAAAACAGGCCTGTAGACAACAACATGTTTTCTACAAAGACCAAAGCATAAAGTTCCTCATTCTGAATATTGAACTTATCTTAAAATGTTAAGATTTAAACAAACTCAGGCACTCAGCACAATTCTTTGAGTATCTTCTCAAACTTTATTTTTTTAAAAAAGACAAATTTAGGATATGGTAAGAAATTACTAAGTTACATTTTTTTAAAATCTTCCAAGTGCTATACTAATGGAATAAATAAATAAGATTTTTTTACTTTCAATGTTTATAGACATATTTGTAAAAAAAATGACTGAATCAGAACACATTACATAATGTTGCAATACACCAAGAAGGGATTTAGGCAAGGAAAGGCACATCATTTACCACAAGAAATAAAGACCTTAATTGGAGGTTAACAATCAGACAAAGCTTTAGATCTTGTGGTGGTTTTCCTAGCTGTGGAGCGTCATTATGGTGGAACCATCTCTATGGTAGTTAGCTAGAACAGGTTAACAGGTATGGGATTTTACTCTGTGACCCCAATGTAATATAAGAATATAAAGCCGCTTTCTTTTAATAAATATGTGCAAAGAGGCACAGAAAAGAACTCTAAAATGGTTTGGTGATTTTAAAGATCCTACTGATGTCATTAAGAGTTAAAATTAAAAACAATGAAAGATTAACCCTCTTGATCTGAATGAACCGGAATCAGTTTTCAAGTGAAAACTTGAAGAAAACCCTGTATTGTTCACTTTTTGTTGGTAGACAGACACAGTGTAGATATAGAGCTGCCATATTTCACGTCAAATGAAGCTGTATGTCAATTTTTAGAGGAATCTTATGTAATTTCTCTGTATAGCTTATACGAGTGAAAATAGCACTAATACTTCTGTCCACTTTTGTAGTGAGCATAATACCAAAAATAAGAAGCTTTCCAAAAATCTAGGGTCTCCACTTAAACAGACATATTTTACCTTTACTAAAAAGTCCAACAGACATTAGCAAAACTTTATTTTGGTCAGGTTCCCACTAACAAGTTTCTTTCACAAATGTGTGCCAACTCTCTACTCGTTTTTTTTTTCTCTAGAGAGAAGCTAAAATTGGTTTGAAAGACAGGATTCTTGAATCAGTGATGTAATGTTATTAAAAATAGCTGTATGTATGTGTTTATATGTATATATGCCTGCATGTGTGTTTATGTGTACTTTTATATAAATAAAATGGATTTTCAGGATAAAATGTTCAGGAAAAAAAAACAAATGGGAGGTAAGGAAAGTATTATCTAAAAGATAATAAAACTGGCAATTGTGGAGTAAGCTGCCTCCTGATCATGCCACACGATACGCCTTCATCAAGGTATATTCTTTCCGGTTGGTGTGAGCCGCCCAGATGAAGAGGGCAGAAGCCATGAACTGCAGGGGAGCAGAGACACAAGCAAGGCAAAAGGACCATCCAAATTCACCTGAAACATTCTCAGGCAGATCTAGTTTCTGGTGGAGCAGTTCAATTCCAGCAACATAACAACATACTGAGCCTAGAGTACAAAGACCTTGAGGGAGAAAATGAAAACAACAAAAACAAAAAAACATGGCTAGGTAAGAGTTTTTGCGACAATGCAACAAAGCAGTAATATGTGATTTTAAACCTTAACTCTCGTCTCTAAGGGGTACGGAGGAAGATAAAAGATAAGGACAATGACAAGACTCACCTGCAAGGAGATGGAGAACACCTGTGGCAATGGTGGGATATAAGCTTCGGCAGATGCAAGCACAAAGTCCGATCAAAGCCCCAAAGCACATCAAACCCAGACTAACAAAAGGTAAAAGGAACTGGCAACGCCAAAGATCTGATTTTTAAAAAAAGAGAAAAAGACATGTTGCCATGACTTCAGTTTATTCATATCCTAACTAGAAGTATTCTCAATAGGTGAGAAAGAAGTACTTTAAAGCTTCTTTTAAAAAAATACACTATTCAAAAGAATGCCATGTCCTGAGAAAAGTAAAAAGAATGCTAACAGTTAGCAACTATTGAAGTTCTAATGTATGTCACTGTACTACACATTTTGTGTATGGATTAACTCTCCCTACAACTCTATGAAGTATTAATATTACCTACTTTAAAAACAAGCTGAGACAGAAAGGATAAATCACTTATACAGATAATAAGGCAGGACTAGAAGCAAAACCATATGGCTCTACTTACAAAGAATAGCTAAGTTCTCACAGAACGTTAGAATAGTAAGCATATGAATGATAATCATAAATTACTACTTTGTAAGGCTGTAGAAAAGACTAATATACATAAAACACAAGGGCTAGAGCTGGCATCTATTAAGCATGCAATAAATAGCAGTTTCAATTATAATTAATTCCCTCAACAACCTAGAAAGTTGATGACATTATTAAGCATATCATTTCATTTCAATCATTTACTAGCTATATTAACACCAATCTTAAAGCGGCAAGAAGCTGTGCTACAATCTCTAAGGCATGCAATTCAAGACTATCAGCTGCTCTGTGGGAGAAGGATGCACAATCTCCTCTCATGCGATTCACTGCCTCTAAAAACTCACCAGAGAGTCAGCTCTGGGTTGGTTCTGACTCGACGATACAAAACAACAACAACAAACCAAATTCTACCTTTTGTTACAGATTTTACTTTGTGGAACTGCATAAATATAATTTCTAATAAATATACCTTCAAATTCTGTTGCAATATACTACCTGTGCATTCTCACTGCATAACTAAATTTCCCAGTTTTTTCTCATGACATGGTCATTCTTCCAGGAAGTTTCTGAAAGCTCAACACTGAAGACTACTGAGTAATAGAAGGCTCCTAACAAATATTTTCATTTGTTTTTGGCATCTACTCTTTTGTCACTACCACCTACGACTGGATTAACTCACCTGTCAAGTCTGATGTTCCTCTGACTCACAGAGCTTAGTTTCCCCACACATTCAGGTAGTTTAACTCAAATACAGTAAGTTATTATTTAGTCCTATTAAATTTTCTTTTCATAAATAATCCCAATACCATCTTTTGAAAGGTGGAATGCCTCCCTTAACTTCACATAATTCGCAATTTGGTGAGTATGTATTCCAAATATGTTATTAACACAGTGTACAGATATTACAGTATATTTCAAGCTGGCAAACGCTACTAACTAATCTTGTTCCAAAAACAAAATTCAACACAACACAGATAAAATTGTTCCCTTTCATCCTCTCAAGTTTCCTGCTGAAATCCCAGTACTCACAGGTCCGAAGAAGATCAATCCCACTATTGTGGTTTCCAGGATCAACAAATTTCTCCATGAACTGCTCATTTAGTGTGAAACTGATACATTTTGTGACCACATCAAAAGACTCTAAAAAAAAAACAACAATACAAAAACTCGGTTGTTTTTCATAAATTATAAACATTTAATAAGGTGACTTCTCTGAAGTAAAAAATTTTAAGGTGTTTTCCAAAGAGTAAGTGATCTCTTTGGCCTAGAGTGGCACATCTACTGTAGCTGAGTGAGTTCTGACTTATAACAACCCTCCACCAGATTTCCAAGGCTGTAAAAATTTACAGAAAAAAGACTGCATATCTTTCTCCCAAGAAAGAAACATGAGATTTAAAGAGCCAACCTTTCAGAAAATCACTGACTTTTGGGTTAGCAATACAACTCATGATGTATACTAGAGCTTCTTAGAGTAAGTGGCACATAGGACTCAAGAGTCCAACAGTAATTCTCAAAAGTAGTCTTAACACATAAAGGGATAACAAAAAAGTAGCAGTGGTAAAAGGAGTGAAAGGATATTTAAAGATGACTAATAAGAGAACAGAAATATTCAAAAGACTAAAATAAATAGCTTTGATGTTCCCCTTACCATAGTTATCCTCATGTTAACAAGGCAATTCCGCCCTTCCAGATAGGGTCACTATGAGTTGTATTTATCAGCACCTGACAAACAGTTCCTCAGACCAGAAACATTTTTCTTTGCCCACATAACACTTCATCAGGATATCCTAGAGGCTCTACTTTAAAAGTACATCCAGAATCCAAAGACTTCTCAGTGTGAACACCCTTGGCCTGAGTCACAATCCTCACTCACCTGAATGACAGGTAGTTATCCGGTTATAAACAAGATCCATCCCAATTATGTTTTTCACGAAGTTTTGCAGGTAAATTGAAATAGATGCATATAGTTCTTACTTAGCCTAATAATTCTGACCATTGCATACTTAGGAGCAATGATGTTAGTCTGAAGACTAAGGTGCACCTGATTCAGGCTGGTCTTTTCAATCAATTGCTACATGTCTAAGAGCTAGACAATGACTAAGGATAGAAGGATTGATGTGTTTTGAGCTTTGATGTTGGAGAAAAACACTTAATATCCCATGCTGTTGTTACGTGCTGTCAAGTCATCTACAACTCATAACGACTCTATACACAACAGCTCTTAAGCCTGTACTATCCTGAGCCGCCAGTCTCACTGACTCTGATATATTTACCCCCATTACTCCAGTTACTGTGTCAATCCATCTCTCCATCTCATCCAGGGTCTTCCTCTCCTGTACTGTCTCACCACCCTTCCGAGCATGATGTCCTTGTCCAAGGATGTGAGGCAGAGCTTCAAAATCCTTGCCTCATAGGAGAAACTTGGTTTCACCCTCTTCAAGAGAGACCTGTTTGTTCTCTTGGCAGTTCATGGTATATTCAAGACTCTTTTCCAGCACCACAACTCAAAGGCATCAATTCTTCTTGTGTCATCCTTAGTCAATGTCCAATTTGCTGATGCATAGCAAGTAATTTGAAGATCATGGCCTGAATCAGGCGTATCTTAGTTTCTCGACTCAGATCTTTGCTTCTTAGTACTCTGGGGAAGACCTTAACAGATCTTCCCAGTGCAATGCATCTATTGATTTCCTGACTGCTGGTACCTACAGACTGTGGAGCCAAAAAAGCTGAAATTGTTAACAACCTCAATCTCTTCTCCATTCTCCTTGGTGCTGCCAATTGGCCCAGTTTGAGTGGTGAGAATCTTTGTCTTCTTGATGTTGAGTTTCAATCCATATTGAAGACTACAGATCTTGACTTCTGCAGCAAGCATTTCAGGTCTTCCTCAGTTTCAGTAAGCAAGGCGGTGTCATCTCTATATCGCAGTTTCTATATAACGAAGTTTCCTCCAATTCTGATGCCATGTTCCTCTTCATAAAGTCCAGCCTCCTGAATGATCTATTCTGCATATAGATTGGAAAGATACGGAGATAGGATGCATCCCTGATGCACCTTTCCTGATTGTGAACCATGCAGTGTTTCCTTGCTCTGTTCTGAGGACAGATTCCTGTTCTGAGTAGAGGTTTCACATGAGCATAGTCAAGTGTTCTGGGACTCCCATTCTCTTCAAGGCTAGTCACAATTTGTTGTGATCCACACATAGTCAATGAAACAAACACTCCTTTAGTACTGTTCGCTTTCTGCCAAGACCCATCTAATAACAGTGATAATAAATTCCAAAAAGTGCTGCCAGCGTACTCCTTGGAGGCAAGGATGGCAAAGTTTCATCTTACATATTCTGGACATGTTGTTAGGAGAGGCTATTCCCTGGACAGGGACATCATGCTGGATAGGGTGAAGGGTCAATAAAAGTGAGGAAGGCCCTCAATGCGATGAATTCATACAAGTGACTGCAGCAATGGATTCAAGTGTGTCACAGATGAGGATGGCACAGTATAGGACAGGGTTCAGATTTGTTCAAAGGGTCACTATAACTCATACTTGTTGATGGCACTTAACAACTGGAAGGTTGGCAGTTCAAATCCACCAGTTATTCCTTCAAAGGAAAACAGACCATGTCTTGTCATAAGATTGGCCTTGACAGCCCAATGGAGGATTTACTGTAAGTAGGAATTGACTTGACAGCAGTGGGTTTGGCTTGGTTTTGTACAAGAAAAGGCTTGAAACCTTTTCAACTATTTAAAAGCTGCACATGCAGTGAAGAAAGTGAAGGTGATTGTGAAGTGGTTTGAAATGGGGGTGGGTCTAGAATTTGAAAGTGAAGGCAAATTTTAATAGCATTAAAAGATAAGTTGTCTCTGCAATCACAGAGGTATGCTGTTCAAATCTACCAGATGCTTTACTGGAGAAGGAGGGGCAATCTCCTCCTGAACCAGTCAGATCCAATTTGACATTACACATTAAAAAAAAAACCACAATAAATTTAAAAATAAAATAAAAAGATAAGTTGTCTCTACATGTAAAGTTCTTAACTGGGAGTCTGTTCTGCCAACCTACAATGACCTTCCATCAGATTTCCAAGGCACCTGACCCGGGCCATGGACTTCACTATTACTCACTATGCATGTTGAGAGCTGGACAACAATTAAGGATGACCGAAGAATAATTGATGCCTTTGAGTTGTGGTGCTAGAAGAGTCTTGAACACACCATGGACTGCCAAGAAAACAAGTAAGTCTGTCTTGGAGAGGGTGAAACCAAATTTCTCCTTGGAGGCTAGGAGTCTGAAGCTGTTCTTAGAGTACGTGGCTAGGAGGGAACAGTTCTTGGAGAAGGACATCATGCTAGGAAGGGTAGAGGGACAGAACAGGAGAGGAAGACCCTGGATGAGGGGGATTGACACAGTAACTGTGTCAAGTGGGTACTGGGGGTAAGTGTGTCAGAGCTGTTGTGCATAAGGTCACTATGAGTCCCAGGTGACTCAAGGGCACAATACAACAACATATTTATGAAAGAAAACTGTCTAGCTTTTTCCCATGAAGCAAACGGTGGATTTAAAGTGTCAACCTTTCAGAAAAATCACTGACCTTTGTATCAGCAGTATAACTCATTAGTCATACAGGGCGTAGTGTCTAAGACAAGTCATTAGTACTCAAAAGTAGTCCGAGTACATGGAATAGTTATAGTAAAATTGCAAAAGCCTCCTAGTCAATATCCTGAATTCCATCACTGCTTGCTTCCTGTGTTCTCAGCACATCAAGAGAGAATGGATCACATTTCTCCTCAGCTCAAAGCCCCTACTGGTTCTTTATAACATTCAGCTTAAAATGCAAAGTCCTCACTAACCAAGAATCCACATGATCTGCCAGTCCCATTCCTCTAATGGTATGTATGGTATATTACAGACTGCACTGCTAACTGAAAAGGCCAACAGTTTCAATCTAACTTCTCCAAGAGAGAAAGATGCGCATTCTTCCCATGTCAACATGTATAGCCTTGGAAAAATGATGGACGGTCCCTATGAGTTGGTGCTGATTTGATGGCAGCTGGTCTTCCCTAGGATGTCTCTTCACAGTGCATCTTATGCTCTTTTCATTCCAACACTGTAAGCTCCTTTTGATCCTTAAACATTTCAGGGATGCTCCTCCTGTCAACCTAAATTATTTCTCTCCCAGTTATCTTTAATAGCCAATTCTTTCATCTACATCAAGTCTTTACTCAACTATCTTCTGAATGGTGAATGAAACAATGGAGCCTGTTGTAATAGTAGATCGTGAGGATGGTGCGAGATCAGGTAATTTAATGAATGGATAAGCACAAAGATTTTAAATGGCTTTCCCAAGAGAACAATTATTCATCCAACTAATATTAATAAGTACAGGGGCAGTTCCTGGATATTAAAAAAATAAAGGCAGAGAGAGAACAGAGAGATACAAAATAACTGTTTTTCCATCAAGGTAGAGACCTTAAAGACCTGCTTATTTTTATACAATTCAGCCATTATCAAGTCATTTTGCCTTTACAGAACAGGAAACAAAGAGAGCAACTAAGAGGAATACCTGTCCTTTCTGGTGGGCTATACCAGTGTGTGTGTTGGGGCCAGGTAATACAACGTCTCCACAATCCCACTGTGCCATTATATCGAAACAGTGCATCATTGTAAGTCTTTTCATCTGCCTCATCACTACTGAAGTCATCCCAGATACTTTTGTTCAATTCACTGGAATTTTCTTGAATGGGACTTCGATATTCATACCAGAAGTCTGTGCCAATTGAGGCGGCCATGTAGATGGTGGAAATGAGGCTAAGCACACAAGCAATTACAAATGCTGTAGCAAAACGGTTATCCATTCTGGCATTCAGACTGCTCTGTTTAACAAGTGAAGAAGAAAATAACACAAGTTAGAATTCAGAGGCAAATAAAGATTCTTTTAAAAGGAAATGTCTCAGAATTACCCTTTATCCTATACTCCACCCCTTAACTATTTAAAGTAGTATATAATCAAATCATTAAGACATTAAAAAAATAGACATGTTAATTAAGTTTAAAACAAAACTCATTATCATGAAAGTACTTATTGAATGCTCACATACCCAGGATGCTACGGAGACAGAGGTCTTGTTCTCTAGTCTATCACCTGCATACTAAAACAGACAACACTGAAATGGACATACACATTACAGATACAAACAATAAACAAGCTCAGAGTCAGCAGTGTACCATGCATGCATAAATTATAAATTACTGAGTGTAGGGGTTTTTTTGTTTTGTTTTGTTTTTTACTGAGTGCATTTTTAACAAGCTGCAGAATATATCTGTTCTGGGTATGAGTGTGAAAAAGAAACAGGAAAAGGAAGCAGTGGAGATTAGCACCTCCCAGTTATCTTGGACTTGAGAAGCCTCCTAAAACAGGGTTAAGAATCAAAAGCTTTTTCTAAGACAGCGTTGCAGGTGTTCGCTAAACCGGGGGGGAAAGATTGTTATAGGGACGCGCAATAGTAAAGAGAATAACATACAATAATAGTAGATATAAATCTCCCCTTCATCCATTAAAGCTAACCCGAAGCTTCTTGACACTGTCAAATTCTTCACTCCTATCTACTCTTCTCATTCCTTATACTTCGGAACCTCTCTTTACCTGCAACTTTGTAATTTAAATCCCCAAAGTACAACCTATGTCCACAAAACCCTCACGATCCCTCCTCACCCACATAGAAAACTCTGACTTAGGCAACATATGAACACTCCCAAGGCGTGGACAGGGCTCAACGGCAGTAGTAAATGGCCGCAGTAAAATGACTCAAGGCGGATCAAACACTGCAAATATATAGAGACCAGGGCAACACCTTACAAAGGCGCACGAAAACAGGTTTGCAAACTGAGGTTTGCCAACTTTGGAAGACGAGAAGTGACTCAGAAAAGATCAGGACAATAATTAGAGAATAACTCCACAAGTTGAGTCTGTATTTTTTTTAAATCCTTTCATCCTGGTACTTTTAAACGACCTTTAAAGGTCCGGCTATCAGGAGAAGTGGCGTGCCCAGGCCGCGGGAGTAGACCCGCACCAGGATCAGCAGCGGCGCACGCCGGGGCCGGGAAGCCGAGGCGGGCGGGAGCTGGGGCGGGGCAGCACCCCTAAGCGGCCCACAACCCGGCGCCCCAAGTGCCCGACCAGGCCCCTCCCCAGACCGCCCGGCCGAGGAAAAACCCCTGCCGCAGCCTCGCAGCCCAGAGCCTGTTCATAAACCGCAGTTACAGGGAACCGGACGCCCCTCATCAAACTGCCTGGAACAACCAACGACTACGCGACCCCCGCCCAACGCCGCTGGCCGCGGCTCACTCACCGCCCATCCTCCTGTTCCACCAGCTTCACCCTCTAGCTCAGACCACAGCACCCTGCCCTCCCCGCGCCTCCTCTGACGCACTTCCCTGCAGGGCCCGCCCCCTCCATAACTCCCGCGCCTCCGCCTCCGCGCCTCCACCCCAGGCCAGCCCGGGTCCAGAGCCGAAGAGGCTTGTGGGAGTTGTAGGAGGGAAGGAGGGAGAGCTGGGAGAAGTCGCCTAGAGCATTCCCAATGCTGCCTTGCTGTGCATTTTGGGAGATGTAGTTTAACTAGGCATGAGAGAACCTTTTTTGAAAAGTGAGAACACTGGACTCCTGTTCTCCAAAGGAAGGATTATAGTCCAGAGAGTAAGGACTCCTGTCAAAGCTGACTAGTGATTTTGACCTGTGTACCAAGAACTGACTTTTAGTTCTGAATTCTCCTCATCACACTACTCTACTTCTAATATAAGTATAAAGGAAGAACTATGCAACTAAATGGATCTGGATATTAGCCTTAGCTCTTTCCCTCATCTCTCCTACACTTTTCCTCTCAATGGGTTAGATGATCTTTTTTATCTTATTGATGGAGTTTAGGCTATGAAGAATGTGATACAGAAGACAGTATCCATCTAGAATGTAAGGGCACTATGAGTTTCAGATTCTGCTTGTGGCTACTTCCTATTTATTGCAAGTGACAGTAGATTTCCATTTTCTGCAGCAATACAGTAAATTTCTGTTTTTAAAAAGTATTCATTTAACGATAGTATTGATGTTACCAGGTATGCCAAAATGTGGTTTTGGTAATGGAAGGTGGTTGTTGTTGTTATGTGCCGTCAGTCGCTTGCGACTCATAGCGACCCTATGTACAACAGCCATAAATCCTGGTCTATCCTGTGCCAATTGCACTGCCTCCCACACACGCATCCCGATTACCCCAGTCACTGAATCAAGCCACCTCATAGAGGGCCTTCCCCTCCTGCGCCTGCCCTCCACCCTCCCGAGCATGATGTCCCTCTCCAAGGACCTCTCCCTCCGTACAACATGTCCAAAGTATGTCAGATGAAGCCCCAGAATCCTTGTCTCCAAGGAGCAGCCTGGTTTAACCCTCTCTAGGGTGAATCTGTTTGTTTTCTTAGCAGTCCATGATACACTTACTACTCTTCTCCAGCACCACAGCTCAAAGGTATTAATTCTCTTTCTATCCTCCCTAGTCATTGTCCAACTCTCTGATGCATAATAAGTGATTGCAAAGACCATGGCCTGTGTCAGACACACCTTAGTCTCCAGAGTGACACCATTGCTCTTCAGTACTTTGAAGAGGTCCCTAACAGCAGACTTTCCCATTGCAATACATTTTTTAATTTCCTGACTGCTGGTGCCTAGAGTGTTGACTGTGGAGTCAAGCAAACTAAAGTTGTTAACAATCTCAATCTCTTCACCATCCATCCTGATGTTGCCAATTGGTCCAGTGGTGAGAATCATTGTCTTCTTGACATTGAGCCTCAATCTATACTGAAGGCTGCAGTCCTCGACCCTCTGTAGTAAGCACTTCAAGTCCTCCTCAGTTTTGGCAAGCAGGGTTGTGTCATCTGTATAACGCAGATTGTTGATAGATCTTCCACCAATCCTGATGCCATACTTCAACTCATAGAGCCCAGCCTCCCAGATAATCTGTTCTGCATACATGTTGAAAAGGTATGGAGATAGGACACAACCCTGTAGTACACCCTTTCCAATTTTGAACCATGCAGTGTTTCCCTGCTCTGTGCTGACGACTGCTTCTTGATCCAAGTACATGTTTCGCATTAACACTATCAAGTGTTCTGGGATTCCCATTCTTCTCAGAGTCAGCCACAGTTTGTTATGATCCACACAAAAATGAAAACCAAAAATTGGTAATAAGGACTTTTGTACAATAGTATGATGCATCTGTCCAAGAGTCTTCTGATGCTGAATTTGGTGGAACGAAGTCTGTTTCTTCAAATTCATGCAGTTATATCAGCCCCTATCAAATGATAGCATGCACTAACGGTGGGATACCAGAAAGCTCCAGAACCAGAAAATGTAAATAGATGTTATATTTGCATGAGTAACCCACCAGATCAAACCCACCACTGAATTGAATCTGTCTCTTGAACGATTTAAATCACTGTGGCATCAAGGGTTTATTGCTCAAAATGGCTTTCCTAGCTATTGACTTTGACTTTGCCACATGGAAGGGCAGTATCATACATCCAGAGTGTGTTGGTCTATCCTTAAAGAGAGAAGTTAGTCTTACCATCTATCCCACTGGATTTAAATTCAGCAGTTTCAGCAACAAAAAATGGGACTCTCAACACTAACGAGAAAGAGGAAGCAGTGAGTGCCCTTTAGGGACAGAGATCACTGCACCAACCAGGTGAAGATCTACACAAGAGCAACAGCAGCCTATATAGAAAACCAGAGATATACATGAGACAGAGCTGACTTGGAACTGCTACCCCACAGAGTAGGAACCAAAGACCTTCACCCAAGCTTGGTAGATGACTGAGAAAATATGTCATAACTGGTAGGACAAAACAAACTGATTTAAGCATGAAACCACACTTGAGAATCCATCTGGACTGAAGTTTTGTATTCTGCTGCCAACCTGAATTCTAGCCTGTTAATAAACTCTATAACCATAAATATGGTTATATAGAGTCTGTATTGTCATTGCAATGGATTTTGGACCCAGTAGAGCAATAAGATTAGTGGTGGTATTAGTAGAAGAAGGTGCAGGAGCATAAGAGACCATGTCTGGCCTTCTAAGAGTTAGTTTTATACTGTGTATGTTGTTTATACGGTGTATGTTCCCCTTTGTAGTGTTGGTAGAAGTCAGACGTGGCCATCCTCATGCTTCTACACACTTTTTTACAACCACCAACCTTTCAGTTAGCAGCCCAGAATACAAAGCACTACACTGCCAGGAATGCTTCCCTGAATCGTGAGAGAATTTCATTTGTAACACCCTGACATATTGAAGGTAAAATATCTATCAATTTTTGCCTTCCTAGATATATATTTTCACATGAGTTAGTAAACTGACTTTCATATCCAAATAAAACAAGGCAACAGCTATATTATAATATTCAGACAAGACTCTGAATTGTTCATCTATTTAGTATCTAATCAAAGGAGAACTTTTGTCAGAGGACCAGTCAGTACACAGTTAATTGTTAATGTGAAACAATACTCCTGAGTGCCTTTATGCACCAGGAAATGCCTTCCTTCACTGTTTTTAGTTAGAAATCCCCTTCTCGGCCAGAGATGGAGTTCCGCCGCCAGACGGAGTTCCACTGCCAGACGGGCCGGGAAGTGACTCAGGAAGAGCAATAGTCAGCCATCCACCACGGAACTCCAGAGGAGCGAAGACTACCCACCACTGGGCGACTCCCCTGCAGCCCGCACCTGTGTGGCCCTCGACACACAGGGTGCTGCTGCATAAACAACCAGCAGCACCCAAGCCCCGCCCCCACCTCTTGGTGGTAGTGTTCAAGCCCTGCGCTCCTTACCCCCCTAGTCCCTTGCTTCCAAGCACCTCAGCCCCCACCACAGCCCTGTGACCTCAGGGCACCACCTCCAATCCAGCCATCACCTGGAGCTATCAACCGAGCTGTTGTGGAACTAACCTGGCAGAAGAAAGGCTGGTAGAATCTTATCTGTGTTTACTGGGGCTGATTATCTGGGAGAGCAACTAAGGGCGTGCCCACAGGTGGGGAAATTGGTGGAGCTCTCTTGGGTTCCCACCCAAAACGAGCCAGCCAGCTGGCTTCTGTGAACTCTGCAGACCAGCCAGAGGCTAGTGGGTTGGTGGGAAGCTGACCTTGACTATTTGCATCCTGTCGGATCCAGGACCCTGCTGGAGCAGGGGCTGTTGTGTGAGGGCACCTGTGTAAGTGCCACCAGGCAGGGAACACTGAGAACACCATTGGGTAAGAAACGGACAGCAGGAATATGAGTAAGGACCCCAGTCGTGAGCACACTGAGACAGCAGAGGTTTGAGCAAGGCCCTCCATGTGATTGACCTGCCCTTGTGATCATCCAACCCTTTACCTGCCTCACCCCACTTGGCTCCACACCAGTGCCTACACGTCTGGGCAATCAACTTGCCTTTAAACAGGAGCACCTTGACCTGTTTTAGCAAAAAGAGATTGCCCTAGTAGGCGCTGAACTGACATTTTTCTGAAGTCATAAATTCAGAGAAATGCATAAGTTTGGTAGCTGCCCATCTGATCTCAAGAGCATTGTCTTCAGA